TTTCTTATTTTTTTTTTTTCCCTGTGCGGCACGACCAAGAGGCGCCAAGAGGCGGTGGAATATTACTAGGACCAAGCGAGGCAAGGTCACTCATGAACTGGACTCGCATGTGATCTGCACAACACCAAAATGCGAGTGGCGCCGCCCGTAACGACAGGGGCGACGTCCCTGGACAGGTGGCAAGGTCGGGCGAGTCGGGGCTATCATGCAGCGTTATATCGGGCAGGTGCATTGGGGTTTCCCTACAGTCACTCTGATTCTACTTTGTGCATCTCCTCGCGCGCGCTCCGCGTGGCCTCGCCAGATACGCGGTGCGTAGTTGTCGGACAAACACGGAATCCTTTGCCCTATATACGCTGGCAGGACGGCCGTCTTTTTGCAAGCGCGTGACGTGGAGTTTCCTCAACAAGATGAGGAGGACAACGACGAGGACGGGGGCAGTAAAAAAAAAAAGGCGGTGAGAGCGGCGATGAAAGCGACGCTCGCGGGGCGGTACGTGACGCCGGGCAAGACGGCGGTGAGGATAAGGACGGTGCAACGCAAAGTGGGCGACGGCAGCGGGTGGGCGTGAAGTCGCTCGGCAGGGCCGTTTGCAGCGGCAGGGCGTCGAGCACGACCGAGAGGATCTGGACGACGGTGACGCCGACGGTGGTGGTGTACCGCGGCGAACGCGTCGGGCTTAAACTGCTGTCGGCGGAAGACGGCGCGCGCAAACAGCAGGGCCAGGGGCGGGCGCGGAGCACGACAGGGGCAGGCCGTGTGCGAAAACAGGACCGGGTTGAGGTAGACGCCGGTACTCTGGACGTTGGCGATGGGGGGGATGGCGTCCCGGCAGCTGGCGGGGGTCGTGTGCGACGCGCGGCGGGCGCAAGGTGGCACGGCTACGAGGCTGCGGCGACGGCGTGGGCGCGCGGCGCGAGGGCGCAGGCAGCGTTGCAGGCGTGGCTGCGGAGGACGTGCGGCGCGCGCGGCGCGGCGGCGGGAGCGGGGGGCGGCTTGCGCATGGTGAGCCGCGGGGGCGGGCGCGTGCGCGGCGCGGCGTGGAAGCGGGGAGCGGAGGCGGGCGGCGCGCAAGTGATGTGCGGCGCGCGAGTGAGGGGCGGCGCGAGGGGGAGTGGAAGCGCGGGGGAGGCGCGGTTGGGTGGTGGCGCACGCGCGGTAGGCGGTGGCGACGGCTTCTCGGCGGGCGGCAGGGCGGCAGGGCGGCAGGGCGGCAGGGCGGTAGGGCGGCAGGTCCGCGGCCGCTCGCTGACGGCGGCCGCGTGACGTGGGAGCCCGCGCACAAGGGTGTAAGCGCGGGGCGGCGCAAGCGCTGTAAATGGGCGCGGAAGCGGTGCGGGCGCTAAGCGCTAAGCGCCGGGCCACAAGTTGCTCCGGCCGCGTTTTTGATGTGATGGAGGCCCCCCGTGAGCAGGCCCCCTACGCGGGGCGCGCAGCGCATGGGTTGTCTGTGTAGGCGGAGTTTCCCCGCATGCGCATGCTTTGTACGCGCGCATGTATGTGTGTGTGCACGGTATATATGAGGGCGCCCCGCGTGTACAGCGTACACTGTACACACACGCCCGCCGCAGACTTGTGTCCCCCGCGCGCCGCCAACCGACACGCCGTGAACCCCGTGCGGCCCGATCTCGCCCTGCATGACAGCGCGCACCCTCCGCTTCTCGGCCTCCGCTCGCTGTAGCAGCTCCGCTTCCGCGTGATGCGGGTGACGCTCCGTTCTTATGTGTGTGTGTGCGCGCGCGCGCGCGCGCGCGGTGTCTCATGTGGCGTGTGCAACGCGGCGCCCGGCGCGCGCGCAGCGGCTCGGCCCGGGACGCGTGCGGCGCAGCTTGTGCTGCGGGCGGGTGTGTGCGGAGCGGGGC